ATTCCACATATAAGTGATACCATATGGTATTTTTCTTTCTCTTTCTGACTTAACTTCACTTAGAATGACAATCTCCAGTTCCATCCACATTGCTGCAAATGGCATTATTTCATTCTCTTTTATGGCTGAGTAGTATTTCATTGTATAAATGTACCATAGTTTCTTTATGAAGTCATCCATCAATGGACATTTAGGTTGTTGCAGAAACAGGTTACAGTGTCATACTTAGAACATTGTCTAATGCATAATGAATGCTGAATGCCAACTCTTTCTCACTTTATAGACAAAGGAGTGAATATAAAATTAATGAGACTGGTTGAGGGGAGGGTATAACTCAGTGGTAGAGTTCATGCTTAGAATGCATGAGGGTCCTGGGTTCAATCCCCAGTACCTCCATTAATTTTTTAATTAAATAAAATTAATGAGTCCATACTAGGAGGTGGAAGGATTCTGAGAAGAGCTGAGGATATCACAGGATGGGGGGCTGTTTACCTCCAAGTAGGGTCCTAGACATGATGTTGGAAAGTATTTGTAAAGAAGGCCAGAAATAGATGAAAGAGCTTGATGGGAAAAGGCGCTGAATAAGGGATGAAAGCGAGTCCTATGGAGGTTTGTTCATTAAAAGGGCTGGTGTTCTGGCTGTGGATGAGGGTGGTAGGCACGAAGGAGTGGCTCCCACGACCACACTGAGGTTCCTAAGCCTGGGACAGCTAAAGCCTAAGTTGCCTTAGAAGCCGACAATGAGAGAAGCCTGCAGTCTTTGCTCAGCACTGAAAAGCAAAATGTGGAGAAGCTTTTATGATGCTTTTAAAAGGTAATTCTGCGTTGGCTGTTGGAAGTGATTCGCTAGCCTTTCAACTGTTCCCTTCCCAGAGGACTATTTGGCTTGAGGTATCTATGGAACAGGGTTGTTTGTTTGTTTTTCTTTCTTTTTTTCTTTCTTTCTCACAAGAATTAGGTATTACAGAGCAGCTTGGATGAAGTAGAGTTCTTTGTACATGGCTAGAGATAAACTTGGCTGTGACCTCCAGCGCCTTAGCCCCCAGTGGTGTACGGGTAGACTTCTGGTTGCTAAAAGCCTGGACCTTCACGTTCTGCCACTAGCCCGGGTTCTGTTTTTCTGCTCTGACCGTTTGTTGAGAGCCTCTGAGGTGGTATAACCTGTCTTCTGCAGCTTACATGCCAGCAGGATGCATATAAAAAGCTGATAATTTAGATTTAGTCCTGAGGCAAACAGATGAACTAGACGAATCAGTTGGGGAGGGAAACACCCGCTGCTCCCTCACGTTGTCATGGAGGTAAATATAATTTTCTAAAGGAAGAATTATTGACATCTAGTGAGATGTGAAATCAATATCTGCATTATTTACTGAGCACATGCTGGGCATTTTTACCAGAATCATTGGTAAACATCTTCAGTCATAAATTTCCCAAATTCTTGGATGGGTTTGTGCTTTAATTAACATTCTTAGCTGGAAACTAGAGGCAGATGGGAAATGTTGTTAATAATTCCATAATTGATAACAATCACTTCCGAAACACAGAGACAACTCATAGTTCACTGACTATTTCTGAGAACAAAGCACTTTGAATTGTTAGCAGAAGCATTTGGTGACGTGGAAAGTCGAGTTGCCCAGTGAATGAAGCCTGGGTCGGGGGCAGAGTCCCTGGGTTTGAATTCAGACCCGACACCAATTAGCGTGGGGTTGCCACCTGTCTTCTCTAAGCCATATTTCCTCATCTAAAAAGGTTGGATAATTCTTATCTTTACAGAGTTGCTAGGAAAAATAAATAAGAAAGTGTATTTGACTGAGCAGTGCACACTGCCTGGCCAAGCAGTCCTCGGTGATTCACCTGAGATTACTATATGAAATATGAAATAGCCCTAGATGTTATTGGTATCCAGTATCCACTCAGTGCTCACTCCTTGGGACAAATCAAAAAAAATTTTTTTAACCCTTAGATGTCTGCTTTGAGAATCAGCGACAACCTACTTTTTAGTAGTGGTTCGGGTCGGCCTAAATTTAACAAATCAGTTTAACTTTAGTTTAACCTAGAATTTCCCCACATGTTTAAAGCCAGATCTTTCTGCCTCATAAAACCTGTTAAACCCTTAAGGAATCACAGTCCCTCAGAACACTTTAGGAAACACTAATGAAAGGTTTCAGTCCCCCTCCCGCTGTTGGTGGGCTGGAGTTAGCAGCAGCAGCAGGTTAACATATATTAAGTGATCACTCTGCGCTTGGATCCGTCTTACGGACATTTAGCTAAAAAATCTCTCTTAATTTTTACAGCAGCCTTTGGGGGGTGGGGATCGGTACTATTATCAGCCCCATTTTGAAGCTGAGGAGACAGAGGCACAGAGAGCTTAAGCATCTTACCAGAGGTAGACCGATTTGAAGGCAGATAGCTTCTGTCATCACGGTGCTAATCTGGGGCTTAATCAGCAAGTGTGGTTCAGCAGGTGCCAAGGAGACAGCAAAGACCAAGAAACTAAAAAGAGATCTCCATGGAGTGGCATATTCCTAAGCACCCGAGAAAGTGAGAGAAGCCAAGAGCAAGGGCAGTGAGCTGAGAGTAAACTGGGAGAAGTGTGGGCGTTTTTCTGGGCTACTGGATGCTGTCTGTGGCTTGTTTTTAATCTGCCAATCACAGTGTTGAGGGCGGGGATAATAACCTTGCTGAGTTTAAAAGGCCAGTCATCATATGGACATCTCAGTTTGAATGAGAGAATTTCATTAAATGGGGCCATGGAACTTTATTCAATGTGTTGATTCATACAATTAGAATTAACAAAAGAGAAGCACACTGGGTCAGATATACATAAGTAGGAAGGCAGCAGATACCCCTGCACTCCATCTGGAATTTTACACTGTTTTCACGTGAAGGATTCTACTTACTGCGTCATGATGGATACTGATAAGCGTGCTTGCTCCCTAGCTTAGTCCGAACAGCTGTTAAATGCAGTGCTATAGTTTAGCAGGGTTTATGGTTTTGTGAATTTAGGGAGAATGATACAGTCAGAAGCTGGGTCCTCAATCAAAGGTAGTGACTTCTTAGTGTTAAGGGGACCACTTTTGCTCACATGTACCCAAGGAGCTGTCCCCACCTACTAACATAGGCAAATGCACATATTCCCTGAGACTTGAACTGGGCACAGTTTTGAGAGCTGGATGCCTCTCCTCCTTTCTTACCACCATAGAAAAATTCTACAAAGTTGCCAAAGATAAAAACTCTCCAAAGTTGCCAAGGATGAAAACCTCCTTGCACTGAGGCTGTTGCCTCTGGGTGGAATGATAGTTCGGAGACTCTTTAAGCTGGACTGAATGAGGCAAAGGGACCACTGCAAAAAAAGATGGGTTCCTTGAAAAATTCACTAAGAATTAACTTGCTGAGTAATTCTCTGAAACCTATCCAGAATTACCTTACTGTATCATAGGGTCTAGGTCTAGGAACCTCTCTTCTACCTGCCCTTCTGGGGCATGGTGGCGGATCGCTGTCGAGCAGTGAAAATGGATTAGCAATATGCTAAAAGAGGAAAACCTGTCATTTGGATGATAGTCGCCTCCTACTTTGTGCTCTGTGGAAAAGAGAGTGGTAAGCTAAGACCTAGTAAAATGCATTTGATGACTTTTGGAGAATTAGTCATTGGGTGGTTTGATTTGTAATGAATTGATCTGTAGCAATCAATTTTGTTAACAGTCCATTTGTATTGAATTAGAGCCTCACATGAGTGTGCCTCATTAGTGAGGGTCACTGAACAGTATGGATGAATGTGGGAATTTCTCTGTGTCTTACAGTTCTGGACTCCTTGTTTACACCTAAAGTTATGGCTTTCCAATCCTTAGGGACTGAGTATCTAAGTTAGGGGACAGTATTGCCAAGGTCCCTTATTTTTAGGTCAGATCTATCTTCTTCTTTATTGGATAAAGTCTACCCTGGAAAGGTTCCTATTCTGTATTCCTAAGCTAAGGGATAAGAACAACATCTGACACTGAGAGGAGCCTAATTCAGACCTCATCTGTTGTTCTGGTTATCTGGTGCCATGTAACAGACCATCCCATCACCACCTGGCATAGAACAATGATGTTTTAATTTTGCTCATGGCTCCTGTGTCAAGAATTCCAGGCAAGGTCAAGCCACGGGTAGCTTGTCTCTATTCCATGATGCCTGGGACCTCAACTGGAAAGACTCCAAAGACAGGAAGTGGCATGAATGGCTGGGTCTGGAGTCATCTGAAGGTTTTATTACTTACATGTCTGCAGCCTGAGTTGGGACAACTTAAAGGCTAGGCTTGGCTGAGACTACCAGTCAGAGGAACTGCACGTCTTCATCTGACTTGGGCTTCCTCACAGCACGGTGGTGTCAGAGTAGTTAGGTCTTTCCCATGGTGTGCGGGGGTCCAAATGCTTGTGTTTTAGTTAAACAAAGTAGAAGCTGCATCCCCTCAATGACCTAGATTTCATCATCACATATATTTACTTATGCTCATACTACAAAATTTGTTATCACAGGCAGCCCTGTGAATCAAGAGTAGATACTGTGCATTCCTACTTCTTGCTAGAAAGTATCAAAAACATTTCTGGCTATATTTTAAAATTGTCACATTAATAACTAGTAACACCAAGTAATGAGACTACATTTTCAACAGATCCCAGTCTGTCTCCAAATAGACATTTCTCCTTTAGCACAGTCTACTTTGGATTTAGGCACATTTTCTAGGGAAATGTCGATGGCTCAAAAAAATCTCAGTGTGACAGCTCAGGGCTAGTTTGGGGGGCTCAGAAGAACACCAGTCTCATTAATATTTAGTCATCCTTTTCTTTGGAAGCCAAAAGTCATTCTCTAGCTTCATCACCTGTCTTGGTCACTGGACTTTATGGATGCATTTAATCTGTCTCCAAATTAGTCAGGGGCTTTGCTGCCTCTGATGATATTCACCAGGAAATGTTGGGACCAATGGGTCACATTATAAAAGAGGATTATTGAACATGGGTGTTGAGTCTGTCTGTTGTGGACCTTGCAAAGGGATGCTTTCCTTAGTAAGATTCACCATGATCTGAGCTCTGTCTTCTCCACAGACTTGCAAAATCTGAAATTCGCTGTTGGGTATCCTATGTTCTTAATGATGAGATCACATGTAGCTAACTGCAGGAGACTAATTTATAAACCAGGTATCAGTTTAATAATTTATATGGAGAACAGTCACTACCTAGAGATAGTTGCAGTCACTGGCTTCACAGTCTGGTGTCTGGTGCCTCACAATAGATGTTTGTTGAATGCAGGAAAGAGAATACTTTAGAAAGGAAGAAATCTTAGGGAGGATGGGACCTGATGGTTTTTGAACATTCCTAGTATTCTTGAAGAGGCGATCTAGGGGCCACCTTGGGGATCAG